TTTTCCCAATAATTCCTTGATTTTAAACGACAAATGACATCTCTAATAGATGATCTCTTCCTAATCGATGATACCATCGCCTTTGGGGACACCTAATGCATCATAATGTACAATATATAAATCCATCATAACTCCATCATGACGTCAAACAATAGAAATCGCAATTGATTATATAGTACAAGATAGAAACGTACAGCGGCATAATGTACAGTTTCATAATGTAATCCATCATGATATACTTCATCATAACGTACTTTTTCATAACGTTAACGCATCATAATATCATTCGATAATAAACACGATGCATCATAAAATCATACCATCATAACAGCAACGCATCATAACATCAAACGATCATATTCGTAATCGGTAGAAATCATAACGCGTCATAATGTACTTCATCATAACGTGACACATCATAACGTATAACGTACTTTGTCATAATCCTATAGTCCATGCGCTTGCTTATACTATGTGGGCATAATGGCGGAAGTTGAAGTTTTGAACTCATTGAAGATCTTAGAAGAGCCCTATGATACTGAAGAAGCTTAAATATGATGAAATACTTGAATTTATTTATTCATTGTTTCTAATTTTTCATAATTCTGCATTATAGTATTGAGTGAAATTTTGAGACAGTTGGCTGCCTTGAAGACACAGTTACACCATAAAACTATTTGCGAACGAGTTGGCTATTCACCATCGGCCATTGCCATTGGTTGATTCGATCTGTGTTTTCTTTAAACTTTAAAACTTTTTGTAGGTTATTATCATGAATATATTCCTGATCGATTTATTTGCCCCTATTTTGTCTCTGATGCCTTTATCAAAATAAACTTGCAAATATTTAGGTGTAAAATGTGTTGAACAGTTATGCAACGGCAATATAATCCCTTGTCACAATTACACAATTCATAATTATTATTATCGAAAAACCATGTGGATACAAAAGAAATTTGGGTAAATCAAAATTAAACTATTTTGGGAAATATATTTTTATTACTACATAATACAGAGTATTCAATAAAAAGTAATAAATATTAGCATGATATATTTAACAAATAGTTAACAATTAACAATAACTTGTCCTATTCTAAGAGAACTATTCTAACAGAATCAACAATGTACCATAATTGTACCATAGTCTATATTAGCACTAGCCTTAGGTATTATTTGAATGCGATACAGGGTTTTTCTCAAAACACAGAAATTTTGTGGTATATGAGCATAAACATTGTCATAACTGTGAATTTTCCACAGCATATGTCTTCCTATCATTAATAATTGATATAAAACAGTTAATAAGTTATTACAGACTATTTGGAATTCCTAAATCCCAAAGATCAAGTTTCTGCAAAAGAATTAATTAATTTTAATACAGCACGATTCAGTGTAAGTAAATGAAAATCACTTTGCATAAAGAAGGAAAATATTGTTATGAACAGAAATACCTCTATTATTGGGTTTAGCTCTCAAACAATTCTGAGAAAGTTTAATTTGGATTTTTGTGACGAAAGATCTTTTTCGAAAATTTAAGTGATCATCACATTATGAATTTCATAAAGAAAGCGTTTGTATCATTCTGATGACCTGAAGAATTATAACAATGCTGATAACTTTTTGTGAAAGAAAGTTTTTGGCTTTCTACTACTCCCAAAAATGAGTCACTCCTAAAAATATAACCCTTTCAATTTAATACCAATTACAAATTGAAATCCATTTTTTTGGGACTATATGTATCTCCTCTTCTCCATTTCATTTTGGTCAATGTTATTATTGTCTACATCATATTCAAAGTAAAACACTTATTTTGAATCAACTGTGAAAAATAGCATTCCACTAGTTATCTATCAATGATAGATCAAAGTTTATTGTTTTCCTTGATTTTATTGGACCTTAGAACATTGAAAAATTAGAGGTAGCTTCTGTTTTTATAATATCGTTAATATATAGCCAAAATAAAACAGGCCTTAGCAATGACCCTTGGAGTACCCCATCCACAGCTGTACAGCTTTGAAGAATCTCATTTTCGAATTTAACTCTACTTTTACAATCTGCAATCCGAACTGACAGCTTTTGAAAGTTGTCATAATACTGGAAATCATTTGTTTTTACATTAATTATACAATTATATTTCAGAAATGACATTATTACTAGCTAATTTTTAGTATAAAGTGAGTTGATTGGAGTTCAATTGTGCTATGAGCAGTTCCAATCTGAGAAACCTACATTCAATGAATATGTAGAATATATTTCTACAACCTAATTTTGACATTAGTTTATGTGATATTTCTTCTTCTTTTTTCATTTGTAGTTTGGCCAAGCTTTGTATTGATATTGTGTAAGTAGATATTTTTTTGTGATTGCAGAATATTTTAGATAATTTTTAAACGTTTGTGTTGTCCAATATTTATAACTCATTTTGATTGTAAATGACTTGCTACAAACATATTTGAGTATGTAACTTACTTTACCATTTATTCCAGCAGCATATTTATTATTCAGTGGTTAGTAACAACAATTCTATTTCGAAAATAAGACATGGCAATTTATTTGTTTTCATTTGGCGATTTTTGTGTCAAATAATGGTTATTCATGTACCAAGAGTATTGGGTAGATTTTTATGCTTTGAAGGTGATGATTTCACAAGCTCGACCGTCTTTGGCCCTGGGTTTCTTGGTTGTGGTCTGCAGATTATCATCCCTGATATTTTGAATTGCCAACCCTAGTTGTAAACGAAACCATGGTCTGTATGTTTTCATGGCTGACATTTTGCGATGTCCACCGCAGCTGCAGACAAAACGCCTGCCATAAAACCTCTAGACCACGGCCAACAAACCCTGAAAATAGTTTTGACACAGTTATATCTTGCCGTGAAGTTTACATTCTTTAATATTTTCGCTTATTATACTATTTTAACAAACAAATACGAAACTTGGCTATTTTATTTCATATCTCACATTTTCATTACTTTCATAAAAACAAGTTTGGTATCTGACACTACTTTTGAAATTATTCAGTTATGTCTTCAACAAAATAAAATTGTTCCACATCGCTTCATCTGATCATGGTTTTCAAAAGACTACACCGTTTTTGGTAAAACTCTAAACTAATAAGGTCAAGGAATAAACTCATCAGAATTCCGATTGACATTTGGATCCCGTTTCCCACAATTAACTGAAACAATAGATATAATTTAATGACAGTCAATTTTGATAAAACCGGTATATTGCATTCTTTCGAATTCTGTTAACGAAGTACTGCATTTGGATATTTTTATATACAAGGTGAAGCTTTTTTCCCATGAGTAGAGGGAAAAAAGTTGAAACTTATTCCGTTCAGAATGGTTTTTACAATACAAAACCAGAGGAATACGATGAACTATCGATGATGAAAATGAAAAAGTAGGGTCTTCCAATTCAGGAATTTGAATAAATCAATATATTCAAAGTACTACCAAGGTAGTTAATTTTCTATCTTATCTAGTTTTATATTGATAATTTTCATGAAGACTTTTTACACTATTATAACGTAGGCACCATGTAGTTGACCAATAAAAATAAAAAACGAAAAATTTCCTAATCAAAATCGGTAAAGTCTGGTTTGAATGTCACTTTCACGATTCCAACTGATATACGTTTCAGTATACACACTTTAAAACATTTCTTTAAAACACAGATAAAATGCAAGTTAATAGTAACAGAATTCGTAAAGAATGTTAACAAAAATACCAAAATTAACTTATAAAAGTGACTAAATCAAAGTTCAATCTGAGGTTATCCAACGCACAGAATTATTTATGTTTATAATTGAAATTTCTGGAATTGATCATATGTTCTTTGCCAAACAAGTTGTTTTTGGAGTGTGACAGAATAATTATCTTCAAGTTCTTTAAATTCCGAAATATTTTTTACATAACGCCAGGTTTGACCAAGATTTTGACTATATAACTGATTGCACAAATAATATTAATGAGTCTGATGTAATGAATCGATTGAAAATAAATATTCATATTTTTTTTAAAATCAACTGAATCTTTTGAGGTACAAACTTGAGTAACCCTGACTAGTTTCATTTTCTCATGATTCACACTGTCTTCCACAGGGACTTTGACAATTGATGACGGTCATTTTATTGAAGCTAATAGTCCCTTGTTGGTTACCAAAATGGTAAAGATACCATAAACAATATTATCTTTATTAGTGAAGTTTGACACCCAGAGGTCGCACCATTCGATAAAGTGTATAAATATGAAAACGTAGGATTATATATCTCGAAGTTCCAGCATCAACTGACCCTGTCCTCGCAGTCAATGTACTGATCATGTCTGCCACATTAGCAGGCGAAACGTTTGATTCTACAAGTTCCAATCGACCAAGGTTCATCAACTCGGATTTTGTTGACAAATAGAAACCACATTGTCTTACACATTCCTACTATGCTCTAGAGCTTTCCGTCTGAACAAATCTTGGTCGAGTATAGTTTATTGTCTCTCTGCAAGAATGGACCCTGTTGTAAAGTTACGCATACAGCCGAACCGGGATGGCCGCATACTGCACTACAAACTCAGATAACTTGGAGGAGCACATATTGGCGAAAGAACTTAAAGAAGCGGTGTTACTGATAGAGTACAAATTGGTTTTTGTTATTTGAATTATGTTTAAGAGGAAACAGAAAAGAATCTCTATGTAGTGACACATAAGTGTATAGAATGCAAAATATGACAATAATTTGAATAACAGACACACATTGTAGTCGTTTAGTGTCTGCTTCGGCAGTGTGTGGATTGCAAACAGTGACTACCATAGCGCCGAATGCAAACTATGCAGGAAAATCCACCAGCTTAGGTATAGTTCTTTCAACTTCCACCAGGCTACCAGCTCTCATATAGGCTCTTCTAGCCTGCCAGGATCTATACTGTAAGCCGATACTTCATCTACTGCGGAAGGATTTTAATGTGATGGTAAGCGACCTGCTTACATAATATGGAAAACTATCGTCGTGAAAGAAAAAACCCTACATTTTCCAATCATCAACATTCAAATTCTTTTTGTATGAGTGAACAATTATGATTTAAACGCTTCAAAATCTTCTCATCTAACAAACTTTCAGTTAAAATTCGACTGATACCGTGGACTTCTCGAAGTTACCCTGAACTCCACGGGCATGTCGTAGCAGATACACACGCAGCAAGAAGGGAATCTAAACCAGTCCGAAAATATTCCCCTGCACTCGTTGTTAGGGTCGTAGGCGAGCAGCCTGTGGAGGCGGTACTGCTGCTCGCAACGGCAACCGTCCCTGCAGTACATCTGGCGATGTTCGTAGGCGCACTTCTCCAGGTGGACGTACTGCTCGAACGGGTACATGTTTAGAAGCGCTAGTTCTTCGCCTCGGGTGTTATTGGCCCAGAATGGGGCTACGACCTCCTCTCTGACCGGACAAGCGTTCCTGGAATTGAAAAGAATTATTAGCTTATTAACTGGTTGAGATAACACATGATGGGGGAGTTTCTGGGTTACATTCCCAAAAAATGGAACCGATTAGGGCTACCCTCATTCCGAAACCTGAGAAAACGGATAGAATGTGGTGAAGAACTTCAGACTGAATAGAAATTTTTGGAGCGATTAATTGAAGTTGCTTTATGCCGAGTCATATGAGATGAAGATCGACGATATAAGCTGCTTGTGGATAGACTGCATACTTAGAGGAAGATTGGTATGTACGCTCGTCATGGGGAAAACAGTAGGAGTACGGATAGGAAAGTGCTGTCCTCAGAGAGGGTCTTGCGTCCAGCTTTATGGAACGTGATTATGCATGAACTACTTCTTCTTCTAGAGAATAATGGATATAAAATATTAGGCTATAGAGACGACTCAGTCATCCTAGCGAAGGGCAATATAGTGGGGAAACGCATAAAGCATGAATCTAGAAAGAGAGACTCAACAAAAGCCATGTGAATAAGCATAGGCGCTAGAGGGACTAGAACCTCTTCACTTCCATGATGAAGAGATACAGCTCGCGGTAGGTTGAATATCCGGGAGTGATACTATAGACTCCAAATTGATCTGGTTCCATTATATTCAGACCGGATAAAAGTAAAGCGGGGGTAGCATTGATGCTAGGGGCTGGGAGGACGTGGAGGCTAAAATAAAATATGATATATTGGGGTTCCTTCGATACAAACTTCGTGGTTGAAATCAAAATAAGAATGGATGATAGGAACAGAAATACCAGGTATAATACAGATGGTTTGAAAATCGAACATGGGATGAGAACAGAAACGTTTCTTATTTTTTGACTTCAGGAATTCAAAGATGAGTCTTCATCATACTGGAAACACAAAAACAAGCAAGCAAGCAGACTAAGGAAAGGAAGCAGTTTCTCTCCAAAATCAGTATTATTGGAAAGTTCATCGTCCAGATACGACATCTACTGGACACATTGAAACTAAGTTATGGTAAAAGAAAAACAGAGTCCTGTCAGTTGTTTTCATATACTGTTATGGTTTCTTCAGTTTTCTGTGTCTATAGTAATCCTTTTCTACTATTCATCAGTCCACAATTGAATAACTGAAAAAACCCAAAGCAATAAATATAACTTATGTTTAACGTTCAGTTATTACGACCAATTCTTAGCTGTTTGAGTAGCGCCATTATCGTCCACCTTTTTTCTATACGTAAAAGTCTCTGACTTTGAGAACGCCAGGTTTTATAGTCATCCCCCACCTGGTGATCTTGGCCGCCCCTAATGAGATACCTTCAGGCGTATGAGTATTTGGAAAAGAGAAGAAAGTATTATATTGAGTTTGGAAAGATTCCTCCGTCCATATTTTCTAAGCAACGAAATATTGACTTGAAATCTTAACTAACATCATATAATTTTTTCATTTTCGCAGAAGTTGCATTATCAATTATGAGTCTGCTAAATTATATCCGGAAGAAAGCCTTACGTCTGACTCGTGGTCAAAAAAGCCCACCTTTCAATTTGGAACTTTGGAATAGCAAAGGAAGGTTTTGGACCCGCCTTTAGTATACATATACTTTCACGGGAAGTGTTCGACTGATTTAGCTCGCTTAATTTCTTCGAGAGAGAAGTACGAGGAAAACTCGTGATAGCATCCCTTAAGGCTCAACTAAATACACTTTGAACCACATTTTTTCTGAACCCTTTCATTAGGCGTTTCTGTGGAATTGACTTTCTCAGGACGTTTTAATATACTTGTGCTTTTCAAAAAATAAGGCACGCGTTCAGCAAGCCACGGTACGGTCAATAAGGAGTATTATCTTGAAGTTATGCGTCGCTTGCGAGGGGCGATATGAAGAAAACGTCCGGTATTGTGGAAAAACAATGCATGTCATTTGAATCACGATAATGCACCTGCTCACTGATTGTTCGTAATATTTTTTGGCCAAAACAACACCCAAATCATGCCTCAGCCACCGTATTCACCAGATTTGGCCCTCTGAGGCTCTTTCCTGTTCCCAAGATTGTAGAGACTCATGAAAAGACGGCGTTTTGCGACGATCGAGGAAATACAACCGAATCGCTGAGGGAGCTTAAGGACATACCAAAAAGTGTATATCAGAACTGCTTTGAGGATTGTGAAAACGCTAACCCAAGGGGGACTACTTTGAAGGGCACAAAATAGATTTCGATGAATAAATACACATTTTTTGAGAAAAATGAAAATTCATTCTATTTTTTTAACAGACCTCCTAATCTACAGCGATTTGGAGCTAACGCAAATCGTCAATATGAAGGTGATTGACAATGTTTCATGATGAATTTCACTAGTTCGGACTTCCATTATCTAATATTATATAAAATGATTTGAAATCCCTGAAAGAAACCAATACAAATGAAAAATTAAAAGGAATAGCTGAAAATAACAATTATATTAAGAAAAAAAAGGAAGGTCTCGAGGCAATGGAAGTCCGAACTAATAGAATTTAACGTAAATCGCTACTCTCTCACAGGCAAATCTCTTATGAGTGTTTTCCCGCCCTATTTCTGCATCCCCATAAAAATGTAAATCGAAGCTTGGGGTTTATATTAATGCCAAGCTGGTTTATCGAACACATTTTAATCATTCCTGCATTTTACCTCTTCACCTTGTATTGTAAAGCATGATTATAAATATCGCAAAACTGATGATCTCAGGTAAATTATCAACATGTATAATAACAACTTGAAGTAACATGCATGCATCCTTGTATTTACACTGATTAAAAAATTGTTTATTTACTCATTTCTACAAGTGCTTCAGTTGAAATGAAATAACTCAAGTGTGACATTGCTTCACTTTGATTGAAAACTGCTTCATCTAACACAACTAGAAAGTGTTCTCTATTAATTTGTTAATTTTAATTACAAATATACGAGTACAGGGCACTCCAGTTGAAAAGACCCACCCTTGATAAGTAGTTTGATACTGAGACTGTAGAAAACTAGTGAAACAGGTTAACTTCAATTTTCGAAGGAAACATCTCTATGTAAAACTAACCCCATTATCAGCCATTAGCTGTAAAAGTGTAATAAATCCCCACATTTTCATGGCCCACCAAAAACACATGATGAAATTATCTTTCGAAACCAAAACGGTGCTAGTAATCGCAGTTAAAGATAGAACCTCAAATTTCGACATCTGAGGGTTGTCGTTCGTAAAAAGGCGACAGCTAGTGGAACATTAACAGATTTCAGAACTCAATTATCTAGGATACCTGGAAATTCATAAGTATTTTGGATAAAACCTACTAAATGACCAAATCGACCTGGTCGACTAGCTGGTTTTCGGATTAGCCTATCAACATTGTAACAGGTAAACAAAATTCGAGTAATAAAGTCACTAGAGACCGTTTATTATTACCTAGAGAGGTGTATAGATACGAGGGTGGTCTGAGAAGTTTCCGAGCGCAATTTTCAGACGAGGGAACAAAAAAAAGTCGCTTGGGGCTAGATTTGGTGAATAAGGTGGATGGTCAAGCAGTTCAAACCGTAATTTGTGGATTTTCGTCGTGGCAACAGGTGAGGTGTTAGACAGTGCGTTGTCTTCATGGAACAAGATTTTATTTTCTTCAAATGTGTTGTTTTTCCGCTAGTTCTCCCTCCAGCTTGTCAAGTATTGATGCGTAGTATGTTTCTGTAACGGTTATTTATTTTTGAAGAAAATCGATTGAAATAACTCCATGACTAGCCCAAAAAACAGTTGCCATCACTTTCTCAGCGAAAAAACATTTTTTACTTTTTTTGGAGCCGGCTCCCTCTTTGCAGTCCACTGTTTGGACTGTCTTTTTGTTTCGGGCGTTTATGGTGTTTCATCTACAGTAATTATTTGACGCCAAAATTCGGATTTATTGCGCTTAAATAGTGTCAACAGAGCCTTGGAAGTGTCCATTCGAACACTTTTTTAGTTCTAACGCAGGGGTCGGCAAGTAGTTTTAGGTGGGGCCCGAATACTGTGGGAAAATTTTGACGAGGTCCAGAAAAAAAGAAGAAAAAACAACTGACAAAAATTAAGTGCTACCTATGTATCATGTTTCAAATCAAATTCTGAATTATGAAACACAAGAGCTAAAATTATTGTGAGAAATGACACCGACAGTCTTGTGCCAGTTTTTTATAGTTTGATTCTCGAGAGGAACAGCAAATTCGAAATGTGTCTTCTAGGTGGACGTTCGTTAATCTCGTTGTTTTTTCAAAAAATGCATCTTTGAGAAATATGTTTCACATACGTATGTCGAGCCAAACATAGTGGCCAAATTTATAGCTAGTTTCTTGCAATTTTCATATTTTCCTGGGACATGTTTGGCCCAAAATTCCTCAGTGGATACCGTTTTACACGTATGCAAAGACACATCTTCTTATGAATCCATTATCTCTATTTGAAGTGATGCCTTTGACAGATTAAACAACTTGAAGCCACATCTGTCTATCATTCGGCTGCTACATCAACTTCAAATGGCGATTTAAGAAACGGATAGTTTGTCCATCTCTGCAAAGTCTTGGAATCTTGTACCAAATTCGTTCCTAAGATCGGCCAGAAATTTTATAAATAGGTACTGCAATGTCTTCTTCAGGGTTCTTTTTATATGCAAGAATTTTCGTAAAATGAATAAATTCTTGTCTTGCAATATCTTTTTTAAAGATATCCAGTTTGCGACGAAAAGCAGACATGCTTCGTATTAGATTCACATATTAATTTTCCATTTCCTTGTAATTCTGTGTTGAGCGCATTTAAATATTTCAAAATATCTTTGAGAAAAGCCACGACCAGCATATTACGCTCGTTTGTTATGTACTCAAAGTGCTTTCTAGCTCCCTCCGCATCTAAATTTTGCAAGAAGGAGGTTACTTCTTTTCTCAGCCCCAGAAACATTCAACAAGTTGACCTCTTCTTAGTCAACGAACATTGCTGTGTTGCAGTGAGTCAGAAACACATGAGAAAAAAATGAGATCTCATAAAATTAATCAACTTGACCACAAGCTGTCCATCACTTCTGTCAGTGTAGCACTAAGTTTTCCAGAAAGGGCTTCCTGGCGAATTATGCACTGATACGATATTAGACATGGTTCTCTTTACTACACCTTTTTCTTTGCCAATCATTGCTGGGGCTTCGTCAGTTGAAAGCGACATAATTTAACAATTTACCTAACAATGATAACTAGCTATATATAACTATACGAGTATCAGTTGTAGGTACTTGTAAATCAGATTGACTAGGCAACTTGAAATAAAATAAGTACATACTAAGTTGAATTCTATGTGGCTTGAAAATATTACTTCAATTAATAAATGTGCTGTATACCTTATCTACGTATTAATTTATGCTTTGTATATAACACATTACAATATTTGGCGGTCCAAGGTTCGACGTTTCGCGGACCACAAACGGACTGCGGTCCGCCTGTTGCCGACAGTTGGTCTATCGTGAGCAAACGTGCCGACAGCTTTCTCATGCCTAAATGTTGGTTCAATATGTGACAAATACGTTCTTTTGATATGTTTATAACCACTGCAATCTCTCTCACTTTAATTCGGCGGTCGTCTAGCACCATTTGGTGTCGGTAGTTGCAGTTTTGTGACGTCATGAACGTTCATCGTCTCCCAAGCTCTTACGGCCACGTTTAAATTCAGCTGCCCAAAGTTTCACTGTGGTAAACGGTGGTGCAGAGTTTCCATACACAGAATTCAACTCATCTTTGATTTGCGTAGGCATATTTCCTTTCAAAAAGATATATAATGACAGCTCGATACTCGATTTTATCCATTTTCATAAAAACATTCACATCAACTCGCTCAAAAGACTGTTACATAACAAATGCGCGTGCAAAATGGCTGAAACTTGAATGAGTAACTGTCAACAGCTTGACACCGACATTCGCTAGCTTTTATTTGCAAGTGCTATCTTCATGTTGAGGTCGGAAACTTGTGTATACGAGTTAACCCTGTTAATTATAACAGTTTATTGTATTCGTTCGAAAACGTCTTTGTAGGACGAAACTGCAGTAACGTTAGTTACAAATACAAGAGGTATAAAAAGATAGGAAGTTTTAATTCTCATTTTTCTTGATGATCTCCTACCCCGTAGTAATGGCTACATCCGTCAATTTATTTCAAGAAATCATTTTCATGAATTCCACCTGACTGAAAAATGTTCTGTTCTGGAACTAGAATGGGAAACAACAATTGTGAAACCTTCGCCAAGGAGAATTTGACAGAAAAAGTACCGTCAAACTCACGATTACTTAAACTTACATATCTGACCACGTCATATCTCGACTGATCAGAGGCTTATATTACGCAGTAACTTTTCAGTTCACACTTCACTGTAATTGCGGGGATTTCTACATCTATTTTTTCAGATTGTTAATGATTCTATCTGAAATCATGAAAATTTACTTACACCCCTTTAGAGTTGTAATTCAGGTGAACCTTTTTCTTCAGCGGCTCCTCTACCATATCTTGGAAGAGCACAGTCTCCATTTTCTCCTTCTCTCCACCAGCAGTTGTTTTCTCCGGCTCTGCCACTTCCTCGTTCGACGACGAGTCATCCTCGCTATCATCAACTCTCTCCGTATCATTCAATTTTGAGTTAGTCGTCTGATCTGTCCCTGAATCAGTCGTGCTGATGTCAGGCAGCTCAGTAGTAACAGTAGACCCTACATCGCTTTCCTTTTCAGTAGCACTAACTTTGGTGGTGGTTCTCTCGCTGGTGGGCCTAAAATGAGGAGCGGTCTTCAGACCCGCCAACTTGATCGAAATTATAGGCTCCTCGGAGTAGATGAACTTCGTTTTGAGCACGTCATCGTTAGACATGTCCTCGCGGAGAAACCTAGCCTCACTTTCGTCATCTTCCTCAGGAGGAAACACCTCATTGTCGGCATCATCCCCGTGCTGATACCGAGCGAAGCGCATTTTCTTCTCCACAAACTCTGGGCCGTTCCCAAGTTCAGCCTTCAGGACTTGAATGTGCCTCTGGTCGCCATACATTCTCCTCATGAGGCCTTGGTTGTCCTTGATGAACCGTTTAACAGCGTTCCACGGGTAGGTTTTTCCGGCTGATGTGCAGTAGCCGTGCTTCTTCAGATCGCAAGGCGGTTGGTACATCCTCCCGGATCTATAAGGACGGCCACAAGTCGTCTGGTCTCCTCCGGAGGCGTAGCCGTATTGCAGTGAGCCATGGGTGTAGAGCTGGAACAAGAACGAGGCGTTATAGAAGTGAATTGAAGCGAGCCCAGTGCTGGGCTTTGAGGTAGGTAGATCACATAAAAAATATTATGATATACAGTGTGTCCAAGATAAGGATCCTAAGCATGGGAATCTCAGTACCTGTTGGAGATACAGCTTAGGTTAAATTAGCAAAAAGTTGTGTTCTTTAAAGCTTATTTACATGCCGTTTAGAAACTTGAAGAATTTTCATGGCCTGCTGAGATATTTGGGAAAAACGAGAATTTGACAATATCAATTTTATTTTTTTCTGACTTTATTTGAAAAGATATCAAAAAACGAATAACACTTTTTCATTGGCACTTTCAAGGTACTACACGATGGTATTTTTAGTTTTTATATCC